TATATATATATATATTGTTTATTGTTTGTCGCAAGGGCTTGCTTGATCCAGATTTCAATCGAGCAAAATGACTTAGAGCTTTTGTGACTGATCTCTCTCTCTCTTCATTGTTTGTAAAATATTTTCATGAGTGAATCCTAACCGAATCGACTAAGGCTCATTTGTCTTGCTAAACGTAATGGAGAAAAAGGATTCCACGTAGTGGGATTAAGGCTTTATCGTTGTTGTTGTTGTTGTTGTGTCTTGCCGAACGAGCAGCTCGTTTAGAAGCTCGTTGAACCCTATACAAATCAAGCTCAATCAACATTTTTAAAACATAGTCAAGCCCAAACATTAATCTAAAAACTTGAATCAAGCTCGAGCCGAGCTTGAACAGAGCTCGAACGAGCAAGCTCAAGCTCGAACAACGTCAAGCTCAGCCAAAGCTTCCCATTCTGAATTACAAATACTTGCAGCCAAAAGACAAGCAATTAAACCAAGCAGTTGCCAAGTATGTCGTGCTATTTATGAAAATAAATTATTTAGCTTTAGTTCCGAATAGGAACTTCCAATTTGAAGATCTACCTCATTTTATTTATTTACTTTAAATTTTCATATGAATTATTGTATTATAACTGAAAATAATAAGCAATTATCAGCCAAAGCTTCAATCTATGTTTCTCCAGTTATGACCGCAGCTTGGGTTACAGCAGGCAAAGGTTGGAACGAGGTTTTCAGTGGGCTTAGCCTACAATAGCCATGAACATATAATTAGCAGAGATGTACTATAAAATATAACATTATTCAATAAAAAAGGTAATAAAAAATGCACAAAAAGTTCTATATATTTTTTTATCAATATAGTGGTGTGTTGACAACACACTACAATACATATTTTATGGAAAACCTTAGGACTATAAACTCATAACAAACACAAATATGAGAATGTAGGCGCGCGCATGTGTTGTGCATATATTAAATATTGTATGGCCAGTACCTTCGAGATGACTTCTACCAACTCAATTCCCAAGGTCAACTTGCTAGTTGCATGGGACAACTAGAATCAATTAGTTTTGATGATGAGTTTGAGCAAACAGCTTGGGTTGGTCAATTCGACTTGTTAATTCGATAAACTTTTTCATAAAACTAGTTCTACAAATAAGCTCGGCTCATATAGATAACCAATTAGTTTGGCTCATATAGATAACCAATTAGCTCTGCTCAATGACTTGGCTCGGTATATCAACGTCGTTCTAAAGCTACATGCTCAGCTATTTTATCTTGTTATTATTATGAACAATGTATTCACTATGTCTTTTGTATTGACTATTGTAACATATTATAGGTCAACCCAAGACCATAGATAGGGAAACACCTTGCAGTATAGAATCTAAAAGCTTTTTGCAAAATCCACTCCATACTAAAATTCTTAAGAGTATTCTTTCTAAGTTCCTCTCTTTTTTGGGTTTACTTTGTTTTTTATAGCTCTTCCCTATGTGATTTGAGTCCATCCCTATGTAGTCTGAGTTCATGAATAATTTATGATTAAAAATCTTTTAAAAGTGCAGTGAGCATGAAACATTCAACAAACTAGAGCAATAGCTTTTCACAATGCAAATCTTGTAGCAAAGAAAATTATAAACATGGAGTGTACCAAAGTGTGTATTTCACCATACAAATGAACTGAATGAGCTGATGACAATGATGGTTAGAGAGGCATTAGAGTGAGTGTCTAGAGTGATGAAAGCATCAACTTCAACAGAGAAAGATGAGACGTACCATCTTGACTGTAAAGATTCTTCTCTTTTTAATTAGAGAAAATAGTGGAGAAGTGAAGTCACCATAAGAAGCTAGCAGCTGAAGAATGTGTTCTTAAGGGAGATTGTTGAAGTAGAGACACCTAAAAAATTTAAGATTCTTGCAATGGAACTTTATAAGAGGAGCTCATATCTTGTCAACCATGCATGTAGCCATTCATTGGTTCAACAAATTATGGTTTGGGGTCATAATTTTACCTGCTAAGTTTAAATATATTTTAATCATGAAATCTTCCATTGCCTAGAGGTCGTAAAGGATTTTGTAAGAATTACAAAAAAAGCTCCAAGAATTGGGGTAATCTTTGAGGAGTTGGATGTTGGAAGTGCAATAATTAAGCCTACGGTTGCTCATATTGCACTTGGTTATGGCCAAAGAGAAGGTTTGCTTTACCATGCTCTCGGGCTGCAGTGCATACAGATATTTGTGGAGTTGTTGGAGTTGGTTGACAACCATGCCTCCATTCAAATAGTATGATTCATTGAATTCCTCAAGCATGAAGAAAAAGTAGCAGCGTCATTCAAAGAAGAACTTCTATCAATTCAATTAAGAGGATAGGGGTTTCACTACCAAGTTTGGGGATAGAAGAAGTTTTGAGAAATGACAGGTTACTCCTTTTGAGAATCGACTTCATTTTGATGAGAAGAAAATTGATTTTTAAGTGGAGAAGTGGTTGCCACCTCATTTTCTCTATGCACTGATCGTGACTCCATAGAGAGTCTCAATGGCTAAATTTATAAAGGCTATTTGGAATTGTACTATTTTAGAAAAAAAGAAACTTGTGGAGATAGTGATTAGCAGAGTGACCTAAAAAATTATTATATATATTGCAGAGCTCACCATCTTGATACAGAGGAGTGTCAACATCTAAAATTTATAATTAAAATTGTTGATCAGGTCTGAGAATTTAAAAAACTTTGCATGTTAGAGGCAAGTATAAGAGCATCTGGAAAGGCACCTGTAAAAGAAGCTTATACATGTAGTATCTGCCATCCTTGGAGGTGAGTAGTCTTTTCAATCCTTGGAGGTAATAGGTCAAAAGCTTCTCACAACTCAAGCCTCAAACAAATTTGGTTAGACAATATAAACTTAGCAAGTTTTACTCAACCATTAGTGTCTAGCTAGTCGCTTAACATTTTTACTAATGTGGATTTTCCTATCAAAGACAATTTGTATAATGATGCAATCATTGTATAGCTTTGATTGTCAATTTTTAAATTGGTAGAATTTTAGTAGATACTAAAATTTAAATGAACATTTTTTTTAAGTATCTATGAGAATATGTGCTTGTAAAGCTCACACATTGTCCCAACAATGTGGTAGCTTCTCAGCTTCTCAAAAGAGCATAAGAAATAGATTAGTCATATTTTTTTTCGATCACTTAGAGAGGAGTTAAGACAACTTATAATAATGGATAGTTTTATCATACTTGATGTATTAACTACATATAATGCTATGTTTGTTGCCCTCTACTGAATACATTATAAGTGGTTTCTACATAATACAAGGTAATCATGTTTTTGGGAGCAAGAATGTTATCACTATTATAGGAGGCTTGCTACAATTAATGGGTTTTTACTTAAAGGTTGCAGGCAATGTGTCTGAAGGGAAATCATATAGCTTGATATACAGAAGGGACACAATATTAATACTAATTAAGTTATTAGAGAAGTTACTATCATTGAAGGAGAATTCAACAAAATTTCTAACTAAGCACAACACTTGATGTCGTATTCTAGAGCAATTTAATTTTAACTCTCTAGGATTACAAGGATTTTTTTCACAAGGTCAAATAAGGAGATGTCGGGCAAAGTGTGGTGTTGCCTATCATAACTTAATGTCAATCTTAGGGCTTGACTAATCAAGTAGAACATGAGACCATGTTCTATAATGCTTGTAGAGCCAATTCACTAAGAGGTGTAGAAGCTCCTCAGTATTGTTTTTTATCAGAGAAGTTAAATAATACTAGGACTGAATTGTAAATGTGTTGTAACAGTGTTGAAGTCTAATTGAAAGTGATAGAAGTGTGTTGAGTTCAAAAACTTGAATTTGGCATTTCTGGAGGATATATACTCATTAATAAAAATTAATACTCTAGTTGATTCTATAATATGCTATTTTCTCATGAGCTTCCAAGATTTTGTTTTTGTTATTAGCAGACCAAAATAGATAATAAATTATAATATCCTTTAGTCTTAAAAATGCATGTGTTACTTATTAATGAAAATTTTATAATAAATTGAAAACAATGTACATAAATGATGTATTAATTAAAATCAAATCATTTGAATAACACATTAGTGGTTTTAAAAAATTGAAATTCTAAATAAAATTGACTTGAAGCTTAATCCACTAAAGTGAACTTTTGAAGTTATGTTTTGTAAATACTTGGTTGTTAACTCGCTCCAAAAGGAATCACAATGTGAAGGCTATTATGAAATTGCCATCTTCTAGAAATATCAATCAACTAACAAAACTGTTGATCTCATTGTTGATGGTCTAGTTTCTCCTCTTTAGAAGTCTAGGATCTAGCCATAAGACTTTTCTGTTGACTATGATCAAAAGCCCTAATTTTTAAGGAGTTTAACATTATTTTAATTAAAATTTTATAAAAAAATAAAATAAAAATCAACAAAATATAAAATCATGTTTGGAAGGTGATCAGAGGACTTTAGGAAAAATAAAAGTTAGATCTAAAAAGTTTTTCAATGTATTTTTATTATTTAAAATTAATTAAAATTTTCAAAAATTAGAAAAATATAAAATATTTCAAATAATCACTAAAATGAGCCAAGTTGTAGATAATCACGTTAGGAGGCCTCTGTAAAAATAAAAGTCAGAAAAATTATTTTTAACGTAAAAATCCATTTTTTAAGTAAAAATTAGTTTTGATTTAACATAATTATAATAAATAAAACAAAAATCCTTAATTTGTGAATATAAAGACTAGACGAACTTAAGAAAAATAAAATTGGAGTTAAAATAAAAAATTTATTTTTAAGTTATTTTCTAATTATTTTAAAAAATAAAAATATTAAAAAATACCAAAAATCTCTAAATTATCCTAAATATCACTCTAATCGTAGAGAATAACTTAAAAAGGTTTTAGTAAATTTCTAAAGGTGTAAAAAGGTTTTTTTTTAAGTAATTAAATGCATTTTCTTTAATTTGTGAATAAATAAATTATAATAAATAAAGTAAATAATCACAAAAATATAAATTTATTTCTCTAAGTTCTTTGAAGTTAGGCAAACTTATGAAAAATATAAAAATGAATTCTTTAAATTAAAATTTATTATTTATTTATTCATTCATTAAAATCAATGAAAAAATTGTAAAAATTAAAGAATAATTCAAAAATTTACAAATATTATTCCTAGTGTTCTTTGACCTAATTGAACCTCCAATAATTTTCTTAAGGACAAAAAATATATCTTAGTTAGCTGAATTAATTATCATTGAGAATTCATATTTTTGAACTAAAATAATTATAAAAGATAACATAAAAATTAGAAAAATATAAATTCTTCTCTAGTATTTTAATTAACTCATGAGTAGGGTAACAACATAGTTTCAAAGTCATTTGAGTTAAATTATGAGAATTTTGGAGTGGGAGCCCTTAAGGGCAAAATGGTAGTCATTGAATTTTAAACTCTAATTAAGATTTAGGTCAAACCAGAGGGAAAATGTGTAATATTAATCATAATTATCCCCCTAAAATGAATGAAACATAAAGGGTTAAGGGGTAGAAACCAACTCATGGCATTTTATATAAAAAGGTAAAAGTATAATTTCCAAATTATTGTGGTTTGGAAGTTAATTAGGTTGGATGATCCTAAGGTAAAAGGCTTGATTTAGGAAAATGATAACCCAATAATTTGAAGCCCTAAATCAATGGTTATATGACAATTTGATCTCTATAAAGGTTAAATTCATCTCATTTAGACATTCTTTATAAAAATTACAAATTTACCCATTGTGACTTAAGAGTTTAGTAGTGAGGTATGCTTGATTTAAAATCACTTAATAAAGTTTAGAAAATAAAAATGCAATCAACTACAACCCTTTTAAACACTACAAGCTTTTGCATTCAAGAACAATTACAAGGCTCTATTCATGGGGAAAGGATGAGGCTTAACTGCATTTGACCACTTATCAATACTTTTTAAAAAATACATATTTTTTTTCTCTAATTCTTCAATTTAAAATATCTCCAATCCAAAAAAAAAAGATTTTAAACCCAAAGCATAGACAAAAAACTACCTTTATAAGCTTTGATAAGTACTAAAATAGAATAATTGATCATGTTATTTTATTCTTTCTCATTTATAAGACAACAACCATTATACTTGTAAATTAATTCAACATCAATTGAGAAGGTATTACACCATAAAAATTGAAGATGTAAAATAGCTTACATTATTGAGAAAGTTCTAGTCATAATTTGAACTGGTCAATAAAAAATAATAGTTTACCTTCATACATTGTATTTGAGAGTTCATCTTTTTAGTAGCTTTGATATTGATTGAGTTATTGAATATAAACTCCAGATTTCCAGGTTTCTATCCAAAGCAACTATTTTTGATTGATTAGAGAATACTCAATTAGTGAAGACATGACAATTGTTGTAGAAGTGGAACCCAACTTGGATAGGAAGTTAGAGGAAGAAGATGAAAAAAGTGAGGGAAAATTAGAGGAATAAACCTTTGAGAGCTCTAGAATTTTTGAAAGGATGAAGTTTTTAAGTTTACCCTAAGTACCCTATCTAAAGGAAACAATTTAAACAATAAGGACAAGAGAGTAAATAAGCAATCATTCATGATTTATCTCTTAGATTTATGATACCTTAATGAAAAAGAAAATTTGAAGCCAATCACCCTACAAGAAAAATAAATTTTGATTCTTTTCATTACATCATATATGCAATAAAGTCATTTTAAAGCTAACAACTCATTTTAATTACAAAAGTTAATTTCCTTTACTGACATAAGAAGAAAGGAAAAAGTAGTAAAAAAAAGAATGATTGATTGCTTTAAGTGGCATTCAAACACTTTCATTCAATAGCTTGATTATAAATTCATCACCAACCATAAAGTAGTATAACCTAACGGAGTCCATGTACCTCTAAGAAATAAAAACTTATACTTTTTTGTTAGAGGTTTCATTATTTAATACATCGAAGTATTTTTTATAATTTAAAAATTTGCTGTGAGAATTTGGCTCAATTTGAAATTGAAACTGACTTTAAATTTTTAAGCTTCAAAGGTAATTTATCAATCTTCTTCAAAACCTTAGCATGCACACCTTCTTTTGGAGTAAATGAAGTGGCTATAGAAGGTTCTAGAAAATTTTCTTGAAGCAATGAAATCAGATGTTTATTCTCTTTAAGAACATGAACAATGGAAGGAGTTGTCGCACTCTTCTCACTCTTCTCAATATAAATTAGTTAGTTTTTTTTTTTTTCGTTTGAAGGAATATCTAGAAAAAATATAACAATGATAAATACTTCAATGAGAATATATTCAATAGTTGTATTAAAAATATAAGTATATTCATACAATTAGCTAGAGAATTTTCCATTTTAGCATTAGGAGCATCAACTTTTTATGGCTCAGAAAGAGGTGAGGGTACTTCCTCATAAATTATTTACATGGGTTGTTTGTCCATAAGAGAGTGTTGAACTTTTAGAGAAGCATTTGCACAAGTGATCTCAATCAAATTTGATTCAATAGTGCAATTTTGTTGAATATATTGGTAAACAAATCCCTCCTTACACATGAGTTCACTAATTTTTAACTAGACTGCAATATAAATTCATTCTCAACAAATTACTTCTCAGATTAAAATTATGAATATATTTTTCAAAAGTATACACTAACCTTTAATTTTTTATCTTGGTTTGATTTCACCAAAAATAGACAGAGTACTCATCTTTTTTAATTCATTTAAAACTGCTTCAGGTGGTGGAGGCACTAGAATAGTTGGAGGCTCTAAAGTAGCTAGACTCGCTACAATAGTTGTTGACTTTATAATTGGTGAAGGCTCGATAGGGGCTTGAGGCTTTGAGGCATGACAAATAAAGGAAACCCATTCTTTGGCAACTTCTTCTTCTTCTTTTTCTTTTTTAAGAGCTTACATGCATCTTTTTTACTTATTCAAAATAGATCAACTATCAAATTTACTCTTAAAATATTAATCTTCTCATCAACAACATCATTCATTCTTCATGGAAAGAGAATAGCTAAAGAAGAGTTATCAACGGTGAAAAATAACAAGAGCCCTTCATTTTTTTTATTTATATAGGATAAGGAGGGAAAAGAAAAACAAAAAGTCAAAACATGCCAATGTCATAAATTAAAACAACACTTAAACCCATTTATTGATTGATTAATTAAAATTTAATTTAATTTATCTTTTTTTCACTTTCAAAGAGATAAATAAATTGAGGACCTAGATATATATAGCCAAATCCTTTTGAACCAATTAAGCCAAAGTCAAGCAATGAGGAACCTGCTAACAAATTAATGGCATAGTTCAACCTATCAACTTAAAGGGTCAACTTAGATAGACAATTTAGTCGATCGATTTGATCCGATAACTCAACCAACCGATTCATTTGGTCAATCGAATAATTCATTTCAGTTAACTAGTTCAGTAGATAAGCTTGGCTCATCCGAGTAGTAGATAAGTTTTACCACTTACTTTGGTGGACTAATTCGATCAGTCACATCAATGAACTAACTTGACATATCAATCTTCATCAATCACATCTGTGCTTTAGTTTTCTTTGATCTCTATTGTTTTTCCCATATGGCTTCAATCTATTTATGGTGCTTGTGTATGTGTGTGTGTGTGTGTGTGTGTGATATATATATATTAAAAACAAGCATTATAAATATAAAATGTCATAATCTAATTACAAAAATTATTAAATTTAAATTATCTTGTGCAACATGTATGAGATAGAAGAAGAAAGTTAATCAGTAAACTCATATAATTAGATGGGAGCTAACCACAAAGTATACGACATATGAATCATCACAGACAGGACAGTTGAGTCCATACGCCCGAGGAAGTGTTGGATCTTCATATGCATGTCGCAAGACCAAAGGAGGTTCCTCACCAGTAGGATGACGAAATTCCTCGTTTCTATAAGTACAATTCATTTCCGCCACTTCCTGCGATAACAAAAAAAACATTTTATATCAACTCTCCATTAAGAAGTTATGAAATAATTTGTAAGCCACCTTGGCATAGTAGTTGAGAGCCTTCTCTTTCAATCAAGAGATTGAGGTTTCAAGCTTTTGCATATGTGATGTGTGAGTTTCATGATAAAATTTGCTCAAATTCTAAGCAAACAAAGAAATAAAACCATCCTTATTTGGAGGCTTGGCAGGGAACATTCAATAAGATCTTTAATTAGATTTGAATCCTACTAAAATTAAATTTATTTCTTGCAGCTCTCTATTTCACAAAAAAAAAAAAACCCTTATTTGTTAAACACATTTTTTTATTCATTTCATTTATCTACTTATAGATATAATTTATAAGATTGTTATTAAAATTAGTAGTGTTGCATGAAATAATGAAATTGACCGTATTAAATAATCTTATATGAAGTAAGGAAAAGGAAATATGTCATAATCTGACATGAAGTTGAAATCATACAAGATTCTATAAATTTAAATAAAAGGATTGGAAAGAACAATTTACTTAAGGAATGGAAATATGTTATATCTATCCTAAATTTGAAATCATACAAGATTCATTAGAAATAATTAAGACTCAAAATGTTATACAAAATAATGACATTGACCATATTGCATTTATTTTTATAATAAAAGTAATCTATATCATAAAAGTAAAAGTGAACATGAGATTTGGTAAATTTGCTCCGTTCATCTTAGCAAAGCAAGCAAGTCAGGTGTTTTATCTTCCATATGCAAATAGAATAAGAGACAAAGTAGAGTGGGAAGTAGCCATAGTTAGTAAATCGATAGTGATTATTAACATTCAAAACTCAATTGAACTAGTTCATCAAAAAATAGAAATGATAGAGTCATTCATTCCACTTGATACTATCAATGAATGGGTAAATTTAGTGAATGATGATGAAGAACACAAAGAAATTGATATCGATGAACATCATTCTCACGATGGTTTGGACGAAGTAATATTAACTACATCCTTAAGTGACTAATCAGAGGAGGTTTACAAATATGTGTAAGTTTTATTTTGTTTTTACTTTATACTCCTGTGTTTTCTGTTTTAATAGTTTGTCGATTACATTTTATAGTTTTCCCTTCCATTTATTGCGTACTTTTTTTTCAGTTTCAGTATTTATAGATTGCATGCAATTTAGTGTTTCCCTTTCTTTTTTACTTCATATTATTGTACTTTCATCTTTAATAGTATGTAGAAGCACTAATTAAATTTACATTTTTGCCTGTAGATGACTTCTGAAGGCAGGGGCGGTCTGCCCCACCCCCGCCCCTGTCGAGGGACGTGTTGTCTTGTGGAAGTCTGTCAGCTGATGAGGCAATGGATGTGGTAGTACAGAGACCACCATACTATGACTGCCTCCAGCCCCATCTACCACACAAGTACCTCCATTAGTCACGACTACAACACCACTACCACCACCAGCCATGACACCACCATTACCACCGATCACATCCATGAAGCCACCAAAGCCACCGGCCACAACCATGAAACCACTGACACTGTCGGCATCAGCTGGTACTAATGCACCATTCAGTTTGAATTGTACGAGTAGTTGTCATCAACTTTTGACAGTGGGGAACACGTACGTGTTAATTTAATACTGACATTAAAATCTTAATTTTTTTTTAATTTAATATAAAATCAATCATATGTTATTTTTCAGATTTAGTCCCCCTACACAAATCATCCATTTCATTAGAGATATAATTTGGAGCAAGTAAGACCACTCACAGTTATCCTGGAGGTATACAATTCAGGATATGTGGTTTGGGGAGTTTAAGGTAAAACTTAAACATTATAATTATATTTATCTATTTACTTTTATGAATATAACAATTTCTAGTTCAATTTATAGAATAAACGAACTTGTCCCCTAAGGACGAGATGCACATCTGTCGGAACTTCGAGCTCAAGGCGAGTTTGACAATATATGACAAACACATGAGCGGCCCTTATGATTGGGTGAGGACGTGTTGCCACACTGCTCAGGGCTTATGACTCTTCTGAGTATCAGAGGAAGAGAGAGCAAACAAAACTGAATCACCGCCTAAATTAGGGGCATGAGAGCCTCAAAGCACACCGGTAGAGTGCTCCCACATACATAGCACAAGAGGAGGATGGTAAAACTTATTTCTTTTTTTTTTTTTGCATTAGATCTTATTTTACATTAAATGTATGCTAATTATTTCATTACACTTAAAAATATTAGAGAAAGGATGGGAGCCAAATGTTGCAGATTTACACGAGTGCACCCATAGGAGGCATTCAGATTAGTCCTGGATGGACAACAGATTGTGAAAAACCCTGGTAATTCTCAAAATTTATTTAGTCTTTTTCTTTCATTAATCATATGTTTTGTAAGAGGCCTTCTAGAGGCTCAAGGAGAGTTGATCTCAGTAGTCAGACTGTGATTCAGGTAGATCTCATGATCCTTCTGAGTACGACCTCTGGAGGGAGGCTGTCAGTGAAAAGAAAAGGACAAGGTCTAAAGCTTGGGGTCATACACCTGCCTATGATGTCTGCCCCGCTTCTAGCACAACCGGTGCATCCACTTCCACTTCACAAGAGAAGGAGATGCATTGTCAGGTTGTTGCTAAGATTGTTGCCCAGGTAGCTGCTCTGAGATCAAAGATGAGGGCAGAGATCAAAACTGTAGAAAGGAAAGGAGTCAGTGCAGGAGGAGGGTGGGGATGATAATGATGAGGAGAGAACAAATGAGGATGAGGAGGATGCGTTGGTTTTTTTTTTTTTTTTTTTGTATTAAACCATTCTTTATTAGCAAACATAATTTTATTGTGAAGTTGTACATTTTGTTTGATTTAATTCAATTATTTTTCTTTTTTTTTTGTATATGTTTTATGTGTTAATTAGTTTTTTTTTTTACTCTGTTGTGTTGTCTTTTGATTGCACTAATATGAATACAAGTGTATAAATTTTAGCAGAGGGCTTTAAGTTTTTATTTCTGATGGTACGGGTTTTTGAAGGCTCTTTGATGGTTTTACGTTGCCTAGATTATACACAAATGGTTTTGTGACAATTTATCAAATAAGCGATGTCTGGACAAAGTATTGTACTTTCGCTACGACCAAAACAGTCGATAAATTCTCATGCTTAACTGACGGTTACAACACATTTTACCAACAGAACCGCGACACTTTTCCAATTGAAGTGCAACACTTTTCTTACGGACATATGTGTCGGTTTTGTAACCAATGGTCAAGCTATAGTTAAACATGATAAGTTTTTTGATCTATAGCGATGGTTATGACACATCGGACACCCATCGGTTAATATAAATCATCGTTAAATCCTTCGTAATTCTTTTATCGATAAACATTTTTGCTACGTCAACTTCTTTGTCACTAAACTGTCGGTACATATATTGCCTACGGTTTATCAATTATTACGACAATATTTGACTTTTGGTAATAAACTAAAGTCTTTTAGTGAATGAAAAAGAAGCAACCGCATCTTCAATTTCATCAGTAACTAAATGAGTCATTGGGATTAATTTTGAAATCTTATAAAAACTTTCAAGCAAGGGGAAAATTTTAAGAAATAAATTCTCCAAGGAACCAAAAGTCTTATCAATTATACACATTTCAAAACTAGATGGTCATTACTAAAAAATCATAATTTTTATAAGATACTTAGACATTACTAAAACTCCTCTCAAGATATTTGAAAGCTCCTAAAAGTGCATCTACTTCTCCCTCTATCTCCTAAGAATATAGAATATCTTAAATATTCATACAACCTCTCAAAGAAATCGCAAATATCTAATTAGTTATTATAAAATGAACATTATGCTAAAAAAACTATAATAATATTTGGATGAGATGGAATTCTTATCAATTAATGAATTTGCGAGAGGTTATCATTATTGCATAATCAAGACAATAATATATGTTTATTGCTTAAATTTACCTTAGTTGATTAGGTAGATCAAGTTTATTGTCAAACATCAATAAGGTGCATCTATTTTTAATAATATTTTAGTATAATTCTCAATAAGGATTGTAAACCACCCTTAAATACTATAAACACACCCAAATTTAGACTTTTTTTTGTATTTAAAATACTAGAATGGAAACAAATTATTGAATTTTGACTTCTAAGTACTCTAATTGATTGTTTGAATTATTTTGGATCCTCCAAGCATATTATATCATCTTCTAATGCATATCATTTATTAGTTATATGATACATGTCATTTGTAGGTATCCCAACAAACACATTTTTATAGCTTCCTAATATCTGTTAATTTTTATGTATGTTTTATATTAGTAAGTCTTTTATCATCTATCATTTACTCATCATCTACAAGTTGCATGTTAAATTTTATAAGGAAAAGGAATGATTTATTGCATCAATTATTGATATAAAAAAAGTGATAATTCAAAGTTACATTTATCAAATGTTTACCATCCAATGCCAACATAATTCATTGATGGCCCTAAACCTAAGAAAAGTTCTCTCTTTTTCTCTACCAAATGGTATTATCATCTTCAACATCTTAGAATTTTTTTCTCTCATATTAACATTGTACTAAAGTTTTCTCCAAAATAAGGAGACAATAACCAATTCAAATTTAAAACATAAACTAGTATATATTTTTTCTCTAACTAAAGGCCCCATAAATTCTCCATTTCCATAGCTTTCAACATAAGAAATCATGTGTTGTCAATTATCTATATTTTAGTACCATGTAGATCACAACTAGAGATTGCCATGTAAACTCAAACCTTATTTTTCGATCACAATTCTAGCACTCAATACACCCACCCACCCGTGTTTGCATGTCCATGCACATATGCATATATTTGGAAACAATATTGTATCCATTGGTTGAGATACACCGCAAGTCCTGTGTTTTCTTTCTGTGAATCACGACCATAGTCATACAATGCGTTGTCACGCACGTAATAATTTTTCATATATTTAAGTGTGCATGTTTGTACACCCAAATAGTTACACTTTCCACAAACACCTTGAGACCTTTCAAAGTGCATGGCTGCAGCAACCATTAGTTGCAAGCATCAACTGCTGATTACCAGCTAAGTAAGATCACAAACATGGGATAACGTTGACCCTCTCCTTTCATAAGGAGACCAGATAAGTAAAATAGAACTCCATTAATAACATCAGTATACAAGGTATCATGAAAAAATTCTCTGTACTTTGCCAAAGAAAACCCCATATTAAGAACCTCGTAAGGGCAGAGTCGGCAGGCATTGAGGAGGATCTTACGCTCCTTATCTTCTCTTGGCAAGAATAGGTTTCGGCTGCAAGCATTTCCATGCATAAAATTAACAGAAGTTGTCATAATTTTTGCAAAGAGTAATTTTTTGCAAAGAATAAATACCAGAATGCGCATGCAGGGTTCTACCATTCGGGGCAAAACTTCATGGGGGTTAAATACCAGAATGCGCATGCAGGGTTCTACCATTCCCTTTTGTAAATGGTACAACTCATTCCCTTCAATCCCGAGAGAGAGAGAGAGAGAGAGAGAGAGAGATGTAGAGGGAGAGGGAGAGGGAGAGATAGAGAGAGAGAGAGAGATATGTAGAGGGAGAGAGACAGATACTTCGCAGTAAAAGCGCACTGAAAGGCTTGAGATGCTGATTAGTGTAAGTGTAATCCGAGTTCTCGGACCGAATGCTTTGACTAATTAGCTAAAGCGATATATAATACATAAACCAGTATTTTATATAGTGGCTTCTAGTTATATAATATATTGATTTTTCTATATATTATATAATACAAAGTTTCGCCAGGAATGACACGTCTTTGTTTATTTTCTGAAAGAAATCTTTTAAATTTTGGATTTTAAGAGAATTAAATATTTAAGCTTTAAAAATAATGTGAGAATAAGCATTATAAAACAAAATTTTGTATTTTATTGCTATGTCAAAAAAAAAACAAAAATAACATTTATTTGTGACCAAAATTCTGAGGGTCCTCATCTGGTTGCCAATTTTCATAATTTGAGTTTGTCTGTCATTGGAAGCGTCATGTCACAGACAAAAAGACCCACATGAGCTAGGTGTATGACCGAAAAACAATAATTAAGTCATGAGTTGTCCACCTCTCTTAAGAGCTATTTAGAGAGGTGATAAGTGGTATCAGATCAGATTACTGTTTGTCAGGTGTGTGGATTCTCTATGGTCCAGTGGGACTCTCGATGGAGTCGATCCGTGACGATCCTAAGCTCCCACCATCCCGAAGAGCTCTTTTGGGAGGTGACAATCCGATCACAAATTTGTATAGCATAATCAACGTTATATAGTTCTTTAGGAACAAGCTAAATGACTATTTTGAATTATTTAAAATAATAATACAAGAATAAACATTATAAAACAAAATAAATTTAAACTAAAAATAACATCATTATAGTGATGTTAAACTTTGAATTCTACAATCACACCATTGTCTCCAGCAAACTGCCAACAATTTGATCTGACATTTGCATGGGCAAACACAAGTACACGCGTTCCATCAGCAAGTAATGTAGTGTTTTTAGTATAGATGGTTCTCATGATATTAAGTTGTGACTTTTGAAAAAGAAGTGTAAACACGAACTAATAGCACTAATTTTTAGAATTTTTTTCAAAAGATGTTTTTTAGATTTTCAAAAAGTGACAAAAATTGAAAAATATAAAATTATCTTTGAATTTGCAATCTATACTATCGAATTTCATGATATAAATTTCATTTAAAACTATGCTATCAATTAGAAGCAATAGAAGTATTTAGCCTCCATCAGTAGCTAGAAACCATAATTTCAAAACTCCCTTATGCTATTTGTCTATGTATGTAATTTTCAGTTCTCTACGTGATTGCTACGATTCAAAAGTACTATCTCTATTCTTTCAAATCTTAGTTATGAAGTTTCTTTGTGTACATTAAGACTTTATGGATATTATTAACTACATTAAATGTTTATGAAGAGTGTGACCATCACTACTGTTGTATTAAGTAGAAAGAAACACAAACATGCAATTGCATTCAACACATTAACAAATCATATCAAAAAAATTTAACATATAAATCACTAACTTAAAGAGAAGAACTCTTAGCCTAACATACTTCTACAATTCAAACATGATAAACCTTTCAATTCACCAAAATTATAAATGTTCATATGAAATTTAAAAAAGAAAAAAACCAAATACAAATGAACCCAAAGTTTAAAGAGTTGTAGGCTAAAGTAGCCCTCACCAAGTTCTCTTTTTTTCTCTTTCTTGTATTTTCTTCTTTTCTTCACTAGAGCTAAGTGACATGGTTCACTCCCCTGCACACTTACACGCACTCAATGTGGACTTTCCACTCAACTCAACACATTCACTCACTATATAATTGACAATAAACTACTCTCTTGCATCTTCTAAGTCTATTTAACCCTCTAATTGTCATTGCTACCTCAATTTTTTAATTTAGTAGCACTACACTCAAGGTACTTTGTATATTTTGGCTACATGCTCTGACATTAATAGATAACTTTGCGACAGTCAAAGTATAGCTCTGCAACACTCCATGTCACACCACTCAAGGTATAGCCTTATAGTGCTCTATGTTGTCGTTACAACACTCAGTTCTAGCACTAGAGCTCCTTGCTCTCGAGAAAGTTGTTGGAATAATTTTCAACATAACACCTTTGTGTTGGGCATGGTGTTATGGCGCTGCTACAGTAAATACAAAAGTAATTATATTATAATAATGTTGCTACAATAATTCTACTACGATACCATTATTAAAATACTTTTGTCATGTCCTTAACAATTTATTATCCTGTCAATTCCTTATAAGAAAATATAAAATAAACAATATTAAAGCATAAATTGACATAAAGATTATATAGAAAATTACCCAATATTTATACATTTTGAAGTCTTAACAAGTATGTTGTTTTTATTCCATTTCCTAGAAAATCCTTAAGGATATCAACACAAATGCATGTGTGGTTGTACAACCTTTTTTGAGGCTAAGAGAAATTTTGTCAAACATACTACAGTGACATCACTACAGATGATTATCTACATGATCAAAAGCTAGAAAGCCAACCTTCTAACAGGATATTCCTTACCGAGTCTTAGAGACCACTTGCTCCACTTGATTTGTCGTCATCCTTGCATGACTAATCACATAAGTCTCCTTTTATAGAGGTAACTACCCAATCAAATGTTCCTAAAAAGTTTAGAAGGAATTTGTGCCCAGATGGCCATTTGTATTAGTTATTAAGCTCTATCTTGAGAGCCCCTCTTATTTTTCTTACATTACTGTTCCTGGTTGACCTCTTCAACCCATCCTTTCTTGTCATTGGTCTCCAAAAAGGAGTGTCAACTCAAGGTTATAGCTATAACTTTAGTTGCTCATAGCTCTGAAGGAAAGTGCCTCTTACTTTCAGTGGTTGAAAATCTAGTCACCCCTATTCATAAGGAGTACATATCGGTAAATGCTCACTATGTTGTTGCATGATTGCTCTTTTGAGTAGATCATAAAGGATTATCTTGCTAGTATTCAAGAATTTTATGTGATGGTTCCCCAATTAGGAAAAACTAAGATAATCTTTGTGAGATGTTTTTCAACCGTGATACCACCTTCAAGTATGACCCCACTGAAGATTATCTACTTGATGAAGAAGATTAGAAGGAGAAGGAGATCATTATGGTGGAGACTTGTGGCTCCTCTCAATGAGAGAATTAGTAGGAGACCACATCTCAAAAAGTTGTTGAGAAGGTTGAGGCATATGCTTCAACATGCTGCTCTCTAGCCTCACTAACAAGATCGAACTAATTTTGAGTTGGGGAATAAGGTAGATTAGATATTGGATATTATAACTTCTTTATAGTGACAAATTTTTAAGTCATAATAAATCCTAGAATACTCTAACAAGCCTGAGGTTCTTTGTGCAGTCAAGAACAAGTACAAGACTAAAATAGATGTTATTAGTGCCCTTCAAAGATTCTCCGAGCTAATTGTATTACCTGAGAAGGATTTAAAGCAACTTATCAATCAAAAAGTGAAGGAATCCCTTGTCAATTTTAAAGAGTAAGCCATACCAAAAGAATTTTGATATTTTCCAGTACCCCAAGAGTTTCGGCCACCATAACTTAAGGTATTTGATGACATAGAAAACATGAGGCATTACTTAACACACTTCCATATGAGTTTCTACAATACAGCTTGGAGTGGTGCCTTGCTCTTAAGACGGTTTCTCAATAATATGACTATTGTTACATTTTATTGGTATGTTGAGCTACCCAATATCTCAGTTCATATATTTACTAAGTTTGAAAGCTTTATCATGAGATTTATAAGAATTCAAAACTGAGTCACTATGGGAGAATTGGTCATCATGAAGCAAAAGCCCAATGACATTTTGATTGATTATATCTTATAGCGGTGCAACCTAACCCTTATAAGGCCTCAATTATAGGAGTAACAAATGATTGAGATCCTCCTATAGAATATTTATGATCCAATGGACTTTTTTCCATAAAGGTTTCACTATTCGCACCTTTAAGAAGCATCTTGACAAAAATTCTAGTTTCACAATATGCCCTCCTCAATGAGTCACAATCATTCGTTGATCTTATAAAATAACATAAATCCCATTATATCTTCAAGTAGTAGATTAGGATAATGTCTATAAGGAGAAATAATTGATAGACATTCAGGATAAACGATTGTTGGTCTTGACACACTATGTGCATGCATAGTGTGCAATTACTTCAATTTCAATCTCAGAAGACGATGCCAAAAAGTTGATACCGCCGCGGTAGTGCAATGTTTAATTCTTAATTGAATGTTATATATCAAATAATTCTCATTTTTTTCAACTTAATTTTACACATTAGGGATACTACGCAAGTGCACATATCATTCCAAGTAATACAGGACTTTCTTTTTAAGCCTTAAGTATCAATCCCACGGGGAAGGCGGAAACTCTTTTATGAAATTAATAACATTTTACTTAAACTCCAAAAAATTATCTAGGAAATAAAGCCACAATTTTTTGTACAAAAGGAGGTAACTAATTCCTACAAATCCTATTTCAATGCTTAAAGTAAATGCTAAGTGTTTCTAGACTAGTTAAATGGAAAAGAGTTCAAATTATATAAAAGTCTTTCCCCTTTGTAATGAGATCATAATCAGTGTAGGAATCAAATATTTAAAGGTGAAAATGTAGTTTTTTTTTTTTTTATAAATAGAATCAATTCTATCAACCTATTTTTTTACCCTCTTCAAAGTGCATAAAGAACATTGGCTAACCTAGTGTTAAGTTCCTAAATCTTAGGTTATGTTGGGTAGGTTCTAGCCTATCACTTTAGATTACCCACTGCACCCTCTTTTTACGACTAACCAATCCTTAAGTTTAAAACTCTAGGTAAAATTAGTTAAGGTTCTAGCCTATCTCCCTAGTATCACCAATTTACAGCCATCAAAACTTATTTCCCTATCTATTTGCACTAACCAATGGGCTAACTTATCACCCACCAGATTAATGTGATTCTTACTTGTTAAGGAATACATAGCCCTCCCAAGTCATTATGGCTTCACAACAAGTTTTAACATATCAATTGGTCAGATTAAATATGTAAATTAAGTACAAAGTAATGAATCATCACAAGTATAGAATAAAAGAAATCTTAAGTAACTCTAATCCTACACATGATTAATTTTTATTGCAAGGAAAAAGATAAAGAAAACTACTCATATCTCATGGGGATAACACAACAAAATATGATTTATATTAAAATTCAGGTTTACATAATAAACAAAACTCAAACAGAAAAGTACTTATCTTAAACTTCTCCCTAAGCAAATCCTCTGAATTTCTTTTGATGATTTCTCAAGTCTCCTTACAATTTTACTCCAAGAGACACACATACACACAAACACCAAAAGCTCTCCCTCACACCACCGAGAAAGCCTCTTCGTCACAATGAACACCCTTCAAACACCACCTCTTGGGCACCTTTTGACTCCTTTTAAAATAACTCTTGAAATCTCCATGAGTCACCTCAGATGCTTCTTCAATATATGTCCAAATTTAATGAATAAAATCAAAAACTGATTCTGGCGCCTAGGCTCCAACATTCTAGAAGCCCAGCACAACTACGTGGTTCCTAGGAGCGAAATCTTGGCGCCATGGCGTCGGGCTTTATGTTTCCACGTATTGTGTCTGGCATCTAGGTGCCAGTTCATTTTGTGCTACCTTGCTTCTATTTCTTTCTTTTTTCTCTAAAATTTTATCTCTTGTGCCTAAAATTAAAAACATATAAAATATCTTCCATTAAAGTGAAATAATTTTAAAAATAAAAATAAAATATATATATAAAAATATCACATTTTTATGCATGTCAAGTAACCCTTTAAGAGTATTTATAAATTCATTAAAACTTGTTAGCATAATTTTAAACCAACTTGATTTCTAAGCTAAGGACGAATTTAGTAGACTAGATCTTTTTCTAAACATAATTACCTCCTTTTTCTCTAGGTTCGACTCAAATGTACCTACTTACAAAAAGTGAAATGTGCACTTGCATTAGGCTCTAGAGTTTGAAGTACACTTGGACTTAAGTTAAGGCAACATCAGGTTGCCACACAAAATTTATCAAATAATTCAAAATTTATCATTTTTTTATTATTTTTGGATTACGAGGACAAAATTGCACAAATAATAGGCGCACTAATATGTCATCACAAAATTTAATAATTTGGCATAAATCTTGAGGCATATTTTAGCAGAAAATGTTTTGATTCAAAATAAAAATCATCCAAAGCTTTTATTTCAGCAAGTTTATAGTAAAAATGAATGTCTCTACAATGCAAACCCAATGATACCTAAATTAGTCCAATCTGAGTTCAATCAAGCCTAGACCAAGCTATTGAACAACATTTGGAGGTTTTAGGTAATTGGTTGAAGGATCAAATGAACTTCAAATTTAACATAACTATAGTTAAATTGAAAGCCTCGATAAGTGGAATTTGAAGAGAACAAGATAACTCAATTTTGAGGTCAATAAAGCTCTTAAATTATTGAAAAACCTTTTATGAATAAGAGGATTCAATGTGGACCATTCGATCAGGTGGTTATAAGAGTTATTCAGCAAAGGACAAAAATGCCCTTCACTTGGAGCCTATAAATGGACCCATTCTCTTCACTTGAGGGGATTAAAAGGAGAACAAGAGAAGGAACCCAATTCCAATATTTTTTTGGATTGAAGAGTGAGAAATCAGTTCTAGCATTTATACCAACTGATTGATTTCAACCACCACTCGTCAGCCTCCATTAACCTCCACCGATAGCCCCCTACTTGTCAATATCGATGAACTTTGTTGTGCAATGAAGTGTCCTTTATATGGTGTAATGAAGCATCATAAAGATGATGTTACGAAGGATCTTGAATGTGTAGTAGTTAAGTAATTTAAACATGATGTAGCATATAATGACACATTATAAATCCAATGATAACTCTTGGTCATGAGCACTTATAACCAACTTATTTAGAATATGCAATTTTCTACATACTCTTGAAGTTTTTTATACATCATATACTGATAAGTGTTGTCTCTGGTGTAAAATAAAAAGACCCGAGAGATGGTTTGTAGTGACCAACTAAAGTATCATCAACTATGACCTATGCGACCAACTGACAATATTAAAAGTTTAATTAAGGTCTCCATGGACAACTGACACTCTTACAGTGACCCAACTATTGTCTATGTGTTTGGTTTCTACAGTGGCTTCCCACTACAACTTGTGGCTACTGTTGTTATTTTAGCTTTCCACTACAGCCTCTATGGCCAACTAACACTCTTGTAGTAACCCACTATGACCTATGTGGCCAGTTATTATTATAGGTTTTCATTATGTCCTATATGACTAGTTTTTGTCATCAGTACCTTCCAATATAGGCTCTATGACTAATAATTACTATTGTAGTTATCCACTACAACCTATATGACTAACTGTTATCATTACAGTCTTTCACTACAGCCTCTATGGCCAACTAATTCCCTTGTAGTAAACATTACGACCTACGTGGTGAGTTACAACTATAACAACCCACTAAATCATATGTGGCTAACTACTATCATTAGTAAAACTTTTAATTATAGCTATTATGGTCAACTGACACTCTTGCAGTGATCACTATGTCCTACGTGACTAGTTACTACTGTAACTACCCATTTTGGTCTGCGTGGCTAACTTCTATCATTGCAGCCTTCCATTATGGCCTCTATGGCTAATCGACACTCTTATAGCTATCAACTAAAGCTGAAGTGTGGCTAGTTAGTACTACAACTTTCCACTATGATCTCTGAGGCCAAACGATGCTCTTGCAGCTACCAATTATAGCATATGTGGCCAGTTACTTCTGCAACGTCACACTGTGGCCTCTATGGCCAACTGAATTTCTATTATCTATCATAGTCTATGTGGCTAATTAGTCCCACAGTTTCCCACTATGGCCTCCATGGCTGACTGATATCATTACAGCCTTCCACTATGGCTTACATGGTCAATCACTATCATTGCAACATTCCACTATGACTTATACAATCAACTAGTGTCATTGCGACCTTTCATTGTGGCCTATGTGGTCAACTATTATCATTGCAGCCTCCCACTACAACTGCCATGGCTAAGTTCTATCATTGCAACCTTCCATTATGACCTATGTGATCAAATGTTGTCATTGCAGCCTTCCATAATGTCCTATGTGGTCAACTGTTATCATTGCGGCCATCTACTACGACTTATGTAATCCAATGTTGTCATTACATCATTATACTATGACTTATGTGTTCAACTACTATCATTGCTTCCTTCCACTATGGTGGCCGCTCTGGCCAATTGATGTTAATATGACATGTGATATGTTACAGCCAATATAGATAACTGCTACTACACCTTTCAACTATAGCTTCTATAGCCAACTAACACTATCGTAACCACCGACTCCAATCTTTATAACAAAATAATGCCTTTATAGCATTCAACTACGACATTATCTGCCCATTACTACTATTATCCCCAAGAACTATATTTTTCATAGCCCAATTACTGTTATTAAACCTGGATGAATGTAAGTGATTACTAACATTGTAATTTCATATTCTAAAATTTATAAAAAAAGTGGACCTATATACTTACAATCTTAAGTGGATTACTTTGATTGTACTAGACTTCGTGATTTTTCCTCATTTTCAAGGTTTTTCATCTAAAAAATCTTGATGTCTTCTGCTGCTACTTTTGTTTTATGTGTGTGTGTGTTAGATCTTCATGCAATGCTAAGATGTTAAATTATCACTCTATCACTGTAAATCTTCCAACACACAATAAATAATATTGTGATGTTAACTTGAGAGAGTTTTCGCGACTGAACGATGCAAGCTAACATTTTATATCTATTCAATAATGTGACAAGCCTTTATAAAATATAGATTGTGAATAAAAGCTAAAGACCACTCATTTCTCATTCTCATCGTAATAAACAAATTTCCTTAAAATTTCTAAGCCATAGATAAGCCAATTTTACTTAAGACTCAAAATATAAGTAATAATTCCCAAGGAATTGTCATTTCATGTAACTTTCTCTTTTTCTATGGCCGTTGTATTCTTAAATAAGACTACTATATATAGGAATAAACATTTCAAAAAATAATTGAAAAAAATTCATTTATGCCAAACATAATAAGGAGAGAAAACCTCTTAACCACTGCTTTAATAATTCTCTTTACTATTTCTGAGCATTCCAAATACTTCCCAGAAGCTGGCAGCTTCCATTGACATTCAACTGCACATATCTTCTCTCTTCTCTCTCACGGGAAGAAATTAGCAGGCATTGAGATCTGAAATTGGTGACAATGGAGGTCATAAATCCAATGAAATTTTGTCCGGAATGGTAATGATATATAAGTCTTTTCTCATTATATCTATTGCATGAGATAATAAAATTTAACATAAATTATAGTTTTTTTTTTTCTGAATAAATGTGTGTTCATGCAGCAACAACCTACTCTACCCAAGAGAAGATAAGGAGCGCAAGATCTTGCTTAATGCCTGTCGCACCTGCAACTATACGGTTCTATAACACCACATTTTGGTTTTTGCCTGGAATATATATATATATTTTCTTATATTTTATTCTTTGGTTTCAATAATTAAGGAGGGAGGTTGATTGGTTTGGTTTTCAATAAGAACATCAAAATTTACATACATAACAATCAACTTTTATGTATTTACACACCAAAAATTAAAATTACACACACACACACACACACACACATACAAAGGAAATCGATATTTGGCAGAGGCCCAAATATCGATTTCCCATGCGCAATCCGGCCCCATGATGAGAGCCCGCGCCATGTGCCTAAAATTCGACCCCCCACGCAACACGGTAGGGATCGAACCCTTGTTAGAGGGGACTTACAGTGACCCTGCCTACCAACTGGACAAGGAATACGGCACACACACACACACACACACACATATATATATATATATATATATATATATATGCACGGTGTCGCGTGCCCCCCGGTTCTTTGGTTGATATCTGCAAAGTTTGTCCTAAGTCTCCTGGAGTCGAGGGTTCAAATCCGTCAATCCGCAATATGATTTGAATGTGAATTCGATGATGTAAATATAAAATGTAAAATTTTGATGTTAAATATATGAATAGATAGAAATTGAGAGTTGTGTATGTAAATGTCCATAAGAATAACATAGTTATCCTCCTCCTTTGTTAACAAAACTAATTGCACGCTAAAAGCTCGTTCTCAAATATCCTGCATTTAGTCATTTTGTATTTATATTTTTATGAATTTTGACGAAAAGTTTGTATTAATTAAATCAGCTGATAAATTACAGGAGGCGGCGGAGAATAACTGCGTGTATAGAAATGAGTTGAGATGCATCTCAGCGCCGCCCGTGGTATTGAGGGATGCTTACGCAGATCCCACACTTCCTCGCGTTAAGGGATTCAAATGTCCTATCTGCACTCATCCAAAAGTTGCCTTCTTTGTGGTTAGTTCATCTTCATTAAACATTTATTTATGTTCATCAATTTGAAAAATATTTATAGAGAAACCACTTTTATTTGTATTTATGGATGTGAAAAGTAGATGGTTGTGTTAGGAAGTCGACAACCAATTTAAAAATTTTGTCAAAAAATTATGACATGAATCTTTTAAATTATTGTGTAACTGCTAGGACACCCCCTTCGAAGTTATGTGTTGTATTGCCTGAATATATTGAAAAGAGTACATAGGCTATTGCATCGACGTCTTCTTGTAGTGTTAAATAATAAGATTCCAACAATATGGATAGCTGCAAGCAAATGAGTTAGTTCATAAAACTAATATTATGATAAGAACTTAGAATATAGGTATACTCATAGGTAAATTAATGAAACTAGTAGATATTATGATTCCTATGAAGATAAATATCTTATGCATTCAAGAAACTGAATGATTTGAAGAAAATGCTAAGGAGATTGATTGCTTAGGTTTTAAGCTTTGGTTTTCGGATAAGAGTAGTGCTAGAAATGGTGTAGGACCATATGTATAATTATAGATAAGAGTTTGAATGATAATACTGTAAAATTTAATATAATTTGAATGAAATTATTGTTCAAAAGATTATTGTTAAATTTGAAATTCTTAATATTATAAGTGATTATGCTCCCTGAGTATTTTTGAATATATGTTCAAAATAAAAGTTTTGGAATAACTTAGAAGAGTTAATACAAAAAATACCTCATGAAAAAAAAAAGTTATTGTAAGAGTTATAAATGGACATGTCGGTAGAATAGTAGAAGATCTTAGAAATATTCATGTTGCCAATGATTTTAACGTGACACATGAAGAATGTAGAGTCATATTGGAATTTGCTTTAGTATATAATTTTGTTATTGTCAAAATTTAGTTAAGGAAAAAGATGAGCATACAATCACTTATATGAATAGATCTAATAAAACATAAATTGATTAATTTCTTTTGAGAAAAAAAGATCATCGAGATTATAAAGATTGTAAGTTCATTCCAAGTGAAAATTTAAGTACCCAACATTGATTATTAGTTTTGGATTTTAAGTTGAAGGATATGAAAATGAAAAATACAATAAAATATAAAATACTATCATAAAATTAGATTGGTGAATTTAAAAGAAACAAATAAAAATATTTTTGTGAATAAATTTAAAATCTTAAGATTTGGGATATTCATGACTAAGCTAATTCTATTTAGGACAAAGTAAGTTGCAAAAGATGTGTTTGGGAAATCGAAGTACATATACTTATGACAAAAAATAGTTTGTGGTGATCTTCATATTACATTAGTTATTAAAGGAGGGTTTGAAAGACACATGTGTACACACACACACACATACACACATACATAAATACATGCATACATATAGCGTGCTCACAACATTTTTATATTGTTTTTTTCTTAATATATTTTGATATTAGTGTAATATTGTTTAATAATGAACTGTAACTGAGCTCGCGTTGATCAAACCTACACATTTTTTAACAAAATTATACACAATGTAGGCTAACCCAATGGAAAGCTTGGCTCGAACATATGCCTGTTGCAACCCGAGCTGCGGCCATAACTGGAGAGACGAAGATGAAAATAGAGGATGAAGACTGCTTGCTCTTCAATAACATTAATTTATATGAGAGTTTGGAAATATTGAAGAAAATTTGGAAGAACTTCATGCTTTCTTTCTTTTTTATCTAAAAAAAAATTTTTTATCTAAAAAAAAATTATGTTTTTTTTTTTTTTGGAAGAACTTCATGCTAACTACTTGATTTAACTGCTTGATACTTTTTTCTATTAATTTACTTAGACAATGTTTTTTAACCTGCAAAAAACTAGTGTGCAAGGTGTGCACATTTGGAAAAGAATGTCACAAAGGAAGCTTTCTATTTCTATATAACCAAGCTAAAAATGTATGCTTATCATATAATTTTGTGCTTTCAATGTTTTAATAGCTTACATAATTTTCTTTTATTGGGTCATTTTGGTACGTACCACACGTATATTTCTTATGTATTTATATATAACACCTATAATTTTATATTTTCATACATTATACTCAAATATTTGGCATCACATCAAAAATATTACTATCATTAACTTCTTAGAATTGAAATAGACATGTTTATGCATTAAGTTTTAATACAAAAGTGTTGTAAATGAAAATATCAAATTTTAAGTGATAGATACATAAATACATTAGAATTATGTGGTATGTTGGTAAAATTTTCTTTATTTATTTTGATGTCATATTCTAGCAAAAAGTTTATCACATGCATTTTCTTAAAGGAAAAGTTCAAAAATTGGATGGTGCTTCAAAATAGACAACTACATTAGAGTTATATACTCTCATATTGATTACAACATCAACATTATCATCAATAACAAAAATAATAATTAAAGTTATAATAATTTTAATATTATAGAATTTATCAATTTGAAACTCAAGCACTATTAGTGATTATTTTGCTGAGAAAACTAGTCTTACTCTGAGAAAGGTTCAAGAAAAAAGATTTTATCTAATTCATCAGCATCATTATCTAGGGTTCTTCTTCAAATCTTATACTTTGATATTGTAAAGCCACATTGTTAGCAGTCTACGAGACCCCAAAAAGAGATCTATGAACATTTTGAGGGAAAATAATGTGATTCGGCTATTAATTTTAATTCTTATGTTTTTGGAGCAAGAATGCATGTTTCATTAAAAGGAGTATTACAAGAAATGCATGAAGGAAGGTAGTGCTTCTCTTAACATTTTTGTCTAGGTTTCTAAGTCCAATTGTCAATTTCTCTATTGTTTTATACTTTTTGATTTTACTAATAGGGTACATATGAATTACTCAAGCATTTTATTCAAATGGCTTTTACGAGTTCCAAAATGTCTATTCCTTCTTTGACATCCATTAAGATGGATAAGGAGTATTAATTGTAAACAAAAACAATTTAAATTGACATAGAATTAAGATTTGTATCATAGTTGGTGATAATTTTAAAGAGGTGTTACATTTTGTGTTAAAATCAATGATAACTTTTATCACATATAGAATTACTCTTTCATTATGTTCTTCTTAGAGATATTTGTCCTATCAATTTTTTTCTTGTACACCTTAATCCAATCTTGACTTGTGATCTCAAATGTTATATAAAAAGCCTTGCATATTTTCTCCTTATTATGGACTTCCTTGGGCAATAATGTTCTTACCTTAATTTATTTTAACAACATTTTGAATTTTTTGAAGTCTTATCATAACTTCCAATTCTTATTTGTGCACACTATTTTATGGAGTTTAATGATATCATTCTCATTATGCATTATGGATTAGTTCTTTAATTAGTAAACATAATATTATCTCTCTCTCTTAGATATGTGATTTAGTTCATTCTTCTGCTCAATTCTGTTGAAATTATATTAGACATGATTGTGGTGGGATAATCTTTCTGCATCCCATGCAAACATAAAGTCTTTGAGAAGCAATTTTAGACTGGGGAGGAACCTTCACTATAATCTCGAAAGGTCATTCATGTCAACTTCCTTGAAAATATTGTAGTGGGGTTATCTTCTAGCATTTCATTCAGACATCAAGTTATGAGGATTGATTCTAAGGCCCTAGGGCAATTTTTATTGCAAATTCAAGTGGACACTATTGTCAACATCTTAAACATAACAACTAGATCACACACTAAAAGCATATGTCCAACTAAAAAGTGCTCTCTAAGCACCCTTCATAATATTGGGGTTCCTCCTCAAGCGATTCAAGAAGCTAGCAATCTCAATTCTGGATACATGGGTTGCTTTATACAAAATGACCACGCTCATGTTAAAATACCCCTACTAGGAATAACAAATTCAAAATCAATAATAATATAGTGAAAAATATCATTTCAAATATGGTTGCAACCATATTTCTAAGAAAAAGTACGATTCATCTCAACCTACACCCTGACTCGAGAAATACAAATCATCTCTATTATCTCATTATGAGTTTAATCGGCCCCAGAAGAACTTGATTTGACCTCTTCTAGAATAGACTGTGATAATCAAGTAAAAGCTTCAACTAACAACTTAAGATAAATTAAAAATTCTTGGTATATTTCCTTCAATCTCTTCCAAAATAAGCTACGGTCTTCAACCAGAACTTTCAACTAACAACCTAGGATATGTCAGGCATCCTTAGTATATTTCATTCAAATTTTTCTATAACAGGTTAACCTCATCGAGCATATCTAACTATATAACTTAGGATAGGTCCTACATCCTTGATGGATTTCATTTGACTTTATCCAAAACAGAATAATACCATCGAGCATCTTCAGTTATACAACCTAGAATGGGTCTTACATTCTTGGTGCATTTCATTCTCCCTTTACCTTAACAGGTTAACACCGTTTAGTACCTCTAGTTATACAACTTAGAATGGGTCTTACATTTTTGATAAATTTCATTCAATTTTATCTATAATAGGTTACACCGTTCAAAACCTCCAACAAAATAACCTAAGAAAAGTCAAGATTCCATAACAAATTTTCAATCAACATGTTTCGTTCGTCAAGTAGATGCTCCTACTAAAAATCTAGGATAGGTTGTGCACCCTTAAAAATAGGGTTTCTTTCTACTACTCAGACCTACAACCCTTAATCTGATTCCTACTCGGTCTAATCCAAATATGAAGCAATAGAGAAATAATCTACCAAATATGAGACTAAATCAAATCGAACTGTTCAATTCTAATTCTGACTTTCAGTCTAGCAATATTAAAAATAAAGTTAAGAGATTGTTTGTGATCAGTACGATTCAATTTAATTTGATTTTTTACTATGTTAAACAAAGTTTGATTATTTGGTTTTTCATAAATTGAAAAAAGGAAATATACTCCCTATGCTATAAAATTATAGCCCAATCTTTAATCTAAAGTTAAATAGCTTCATATATACTATTATTTTCATTTGGTTCAACTATAAAATGTTTATGAAAATAAAAATCCTAATTCAAATTTAGCAATATTTTTAGTCAAAAATGAACTGAATTGTAAGATAGATTATATAAGCTTTTATGCTACCCCTAAGGTAAGTGGAAGCACAAAACTTGAGCCAAATAAAAAAAATATTTCATACTTTCAAATTCAACGGTTCTTAAAAAAGATCAGCATTAATTAAAGATTAAGGGATCAAAACAAAGAGAAGAAAAAACAAATCTTAGGCGGTGTTTAGCTGCAACTTACTCTTACGTTCAATAGAATTTATCAAATTCAATAAATTCAGATTTATTAGATCGACGCTGCGATGGAAGGCCTCGCGAGTGACGGTAAAATAAATCCGGCTCACAATCAAATTACTAAATCAGGATTTGTGTCGTAAAAAAGACGGGAAAGTGACGATAGAAAGATCAAACAGAAGAAATTGGATTTATTGGATTTTTTTTTTTGCTTAATTTAAGTTAAACTCATGATCAAATCTTATAAATAATATGATACCAAACACCGTCTTAACCTTAAAATGTATTAGATATATAGAACCCGCAATAAAAAGGAACAAAATCCAAAAATTTGACGAGATCGAAGAGGTGCTTAGAATGAAGTATACATGAGTGATATTGATTCGGCTTGTCTCTTACAACTCAAATAGATGACAGGAAACTAGCCGAATCAATATCACGCCATGTCTGCTTCTTCTTCTTCTTCTTCCTTGTGACGGTGTTAAAGGTGAGGATGGATTGAATGATAAGGGATATATATATATATATATATATATATATATATATATATAGCCTTGGAGTTGAGTTAAAGGGGTAAATATTATTAAAAAAAAGTTATAGAATCTAACAAGTATTGGCTGTGCTTCTGCAATGCTATTCCCTCTCTAAAAAGCCAAATAATTTGTTTCTCTTGCATTAATTAAATGTTTTTATGAATATTGCCATTTTGCTTCTTCTTCTTCTTTTTCTTTTTGTACTTAGAGAGAGATTGGTTGAATGTTTCTGAAGAAGAGAATGAGTTAATTCCATTCAGATATTGGTGCTGTAAAATATAAAAATAAGATATATAAAAGGCTCTTCTTTTCAATCTTTTTTAAATTAATGGTTTCTGTAATTTTGCATGCCAGTTTTCTGTTTTGAAGTAGTTATTTTCCAATGTAAAGATTAAGCTCAATGCTCATGTAGATTTACACACAGATTAAACTAACAAGTCTTGATGTTTTTAGCATAGAAATAGTGATGGCCATCTTGTTGTTTTTGTTAAAGTTGTGTAGAGATCAAAAATGGTTGGAAGATCAAAAATGGTTGGAAGCTTATTCGAATTCTTACCGATCGTTTCTATGTTGTGTGAAAGAGCGATGTGATAAAGATTGCCAACTTGCTGCTATTGTATTCTTCCTCTATTGATTGCAAAGTATTGGTTAGTTTGAATAAGTACTAACTTTAAAAGTTTAGGTTTTTCTTTCCCTAAGCTTTTTAATTGTTTAAACTATATATGAAGAGATGTCTTAAAAATGGGTGATTGTAGTTAAATGCAACTATTAGTGATAATAATAATACATAGTACAAATTGAAGATAGTAATTATAGGACATGTTGTAATAAATAGGCTGCAAAAATATGAATATGTGATCAGGTTTATGATGGGGCAGACAAGCAACATATG